GAGGCGGGGGCGCGGGGTCTCACGGGACTTGTAGTTCATCGGGGGTGTGGGGGAGTCCCACCGCGGTGCCGAGGAGGAGGGAAGGGGGAGTCGGGCTGGGGCCAGGCTTAGGGCTCCGTGGCTCGGACGGGCCCTGGAGGTGAGGGAGCAGGTTGCCTTTACCGCATGGGGGAGGTTAATGCAGAGCATGGCACTGGGGCAGTGGGTGGCCGCAATGGCCTGAGAGCCGTGGAGGCCCGGGAGGGGATTGCCGCCCTCGGCTCAGCACCAGGTCCTTGGTTTGAGACTCAAACATCTTGAGATGTTTGGCCACATCTAGGTACTGCATCTGGTTTTGAGCCCTCCTGGTTCAAGCAAGACATCCATGAATAATCGCAAGCTCAGAAGAGAGCCACCAAGATGGTCAGGGGGCTGGAGACTCGCCCTGTGGGGTGAGGCTGGGGGCCAGGACTTGTTGAGCATGGAGGAGAGATGGACACATTTGTACCAGGCATCAGGAAGATGGAGCCAGGTTTTTCATGGTGGTGCAGGATGAGGGGCAATGGGAATACATTGGAACAAGAGAGTGGGGGTGAGAGAAACGTCTTCCCCTGAGGGCTACCAAGCAGTGGGACAGGTTGCCCAGGGAGGTCGTGGAGACACCATCCTTGGAGGTTCTCAGTGCCCAAGTCAAGCCTGAGCAACCTGGTTGGCCCCTTTCTTTGAGCAGGAGTTTGGACTGGAGCCCCCCGGAGGTCCCTTCCCACTTGAGTTACTCCATGATTCTCTAGTGAGGTTCCTCTTTTCCATGCCTTCTACTTATGGGACAAGGGGTTACACCTGATATGGAGTACAGATGATGCAGCTTTTCTTGGAGTAAGTTTTTTAACTGTAGCCATAGTCATTGCAGAAGCAGGCTTTTAGAGGCATTGTATCTCTTTCTTTGCTAGTTTTTAAGAACAGGTTAAAAAAGTCATCTGGCCAGTATAGTTGTGCTGGTTTTGGCTGGGATAGAGTTAATTTTCTTCATAGAAGCATGTTTTGGATTTGGGATGAAAATAATTTTAATAACTTACTGATGTTGCTAAGTGGTCAAGGACTGTCCAGCTTCTTATGCGGGCCTGCCAGTGAGGAGGCTGGGGGGGACAAGAAGCTGGGAGGGGACACAGCTGGGAGAGCTGAGCCAGGCTGGCCAAGGGGATATTCCAGACCATATGACGCCATGCTCAGCGTATAAATCTGGGGGAGAAGAAGGAAAGGAGGGACGCTTGGAGTGATGGCGTTTGTCTTCCCAAGTCACCGTTACGCATGATGGAGCCTGGCTTTCCTGGAGATGGCTGAACTCCTGCCTGCCGATGGGCAATGGTGAATGAATTCCTGGTTTTGCTCTGCTTGCGTGCGCGGCTTTTACTTTACCTATTAAACTGTCTTTATCTCAACCCACGAGTTTTCTCACTTTTACCCTTCCGATTCTCTCCCCCATCCCACTGCAGGGGAGTCAATGAGCGGCTGCGTGGGGCTTGGTTGCTGGCTGGGGTTAAATCACAACAATACTTCATCCTACATAAACGTGAGGAACTAAATTTCATTGATTCCCATCACAGTCTACATTTCTGTCTTCCAAAGTGATCTTCAGTTCAGGCTAGCAGACTTTTCACAACACATATGCATCCGAAAATCATCACTGTGGGCCCATCAAAACTTTCATTCCCTCAAAGCCCAAAGCTCTTAGCATCTTTTGGCCCTCAGCAGCTCTTCCATGCCTGCCTTGACAACGGGGTTGGGACCTGCTGGATTACCCCAGACTCTTCCTCTGAAGCAGAGAACCTCAGCAGACCTTTTTGTCTTGCCTTTTTATTTTCACCATGGATCAGAGTCAGGCTGCCCACCTACGTGTTTGTTTTCAGGTCAGCAGCACATTGGACGGACTACCAAAACACACATGTTTCTAAGTAAGTCCTAAATTTTTTTCAGAAAGGCTGTCTAAGCCTGTACTCTCCTCATCAATATACTTACATGCTTTAAGAGTACTCCCTGGTGGAAATGACTCAGATCCAGCCAGCTGAGGTATGAGATGGAGTGATTTCTATTCACACCTTCTACTGAGTGATTTGTATTTCTATTCACACCTTCCATCTTAAACAACCACTCTTTTTTGGGGGGGGGTGGTGTTTTTTTTCCTTCTCCATCCTTCATCTTCCCTGACATAAACACTCTCCCTTTTCCTGTGTACCAGCCACACTAGGCAGCTGCTGGGGAGATAATGGATAACCTCGGTGAAGCAAAAGCACAGAGAGTACAAAACATCTGTTAATTAGGCTCTAGGGCATATTTAATCCATTTGGCTTCCGCAAATGTTGAAATAAATTTCTCCAATGGGCAGCAATAGCCTTAAGCGGCAAGAGCCACTTTGGTGTCTGACACTGCCCTACAGCGAGAGGTACTGAGGAAGGAATGGGCTTAAGGTCCGATTTGAAAAATGCCAGGACACCTCTTTAGATTTGAGATTTTATTTCTTGCTGTGATGGCAGCAGAGTAAAGTCTCAAACAGCTACTTTCAGAGTGAGGAGGAAGGGCAGAGAAAGCAGTGAAGGTGGAGGGCCCTCTGCGGGTCGGTGTTCGGTGCTGAGGACACGAGAGGAGTCATGGCTTGAGGTTTCCTCCCCCTCCAGCGAGGGTCCTTCCCATCTTGCTACTTGTCCTCAAGGAAGGTGCACACCTGGAGGAGATCTGAAAAGGGAAAGGTCAGGGAGAAGTTCAGATCCTGCCCTTAAACACTCCTGTCCCACCAGCACACGCCCAGCCATGCCAACAATGTCATCGCGTGGAAAACATATTCAGCGTGCCACAAAAAAATGTGTAGTAACCACAGATCGCACTGAGCACACGCTGATGGGACAGGGTGGGTTCTTTTTACCGGTTCTCAAAGTGTATAGAATAGAATCATAGAAACATAGAGTAGTTTGGGTGGGAAGGGACCTTTCCAGGCCATCTAGTCCAACCTCCTGCCATGAGCAGGGACATCCCCAACCAGAGCAGGTCGCTCAGAGCCCCGTCCAGCCCGACCTGGGATGTTTCCAGGGATGGGGCATCGACCACCTCTCTGGGCAACCTGGGCCAGGGGTTCACCACCCTCATGGTGAACAATTTCTGCCTTGCATCTAGTCTAAATCTGCCCTCTTTTAGTTTAAAACAATTACATATTTTCTGAAAGTGAATAAAAATCTTTGATTGCTGTTGATGATTGTTGATTGTCTGTTGAAGCAGACTTCCAGACTGTTTTCAATTTATCCAAGGAACTTTGAAAAAAGTATACTGGCATCTTCACGGTTTATCCCCATTTTGCTTAAAAAAATTAAATGGACAGCTACAGAAGAAAGTGTTCGTGCCTGCGAGGCTAAGAACTGCAGTTCACAGACTTCCTTCTGGGGCTGTTACAGTTACCTGATGGATTGCAGGTATTGAGGCTAGCAACTGAAGCATAGTATTGCTCTCCGAGGAATTCCCTGTACGTTATTCCGTCGCGGAGATTGACCAGACACTTGGTCAAGTCTTTAAACAGAAGGTCCTTGGTTTGAGACTCAAACATCTTGAATCTGTCCTTCTCGATTCCTTTTGTTCCAAACAGTTTCTGAAATAAAGGCAAGAAAAGGTAAGTAGATGTAAGAAGTAGAAGATTCATCTCGTACAAGCCTAGCTCTTAGTCCTAGTTCTTCACCATCACCCTGGGCAGCCCCCAGCAAAGCTCCAGAAATTTAGGATTGATCTTCTGTCCGTATGGTTAGATGAGGGATCTCTCAGTGGTAGGCACAGTGGTGGCACGACTGTCAAAACAATTTTTTTTTCCATTTTAATGTGTCACACTACATGCAGAGCCGATCGGCAGATGCTGCCAGCAGGTCCTATGCCTTAGCCATGAGTCAAGAGCAAAAGGACCCGACTTCCCAAGCGCCTCTCAGCAGACCCTGACGGTGGAGCAAATACTGACGTTTTCAGTGTGGAATCAAACAGAGCTGTTTTAACCTGGTTACATTTACACCAGTAGCTGTAAGACTGCAGGGAGGCAGCTTCTCGCGGCTGTGCCTGACCCAGCTGGGTTAGAGACCTGGCACCCCAGAAGAGTTTCTGAAGCTCCCCTGCAAGGGCATAAGCCCGAGGAGGAGCTGATAATCTCACGTCACACGAGTATAGCGTGACAATAGCGACCGCTACAATCCGGCTGTTACCCAAAGGTGTATCTGCTAAGGTGGCAGAGGAGGAAGAGCAGTTTGGAAGGGATGGAGGAAGGGGGAGGCTGAGGGACAAGGCTGTCACCCCGTACCGGTAAGTTAAAATCTTCCATGTTGCGCTGACTCGGGGAAACTCAGAGCATCGTTGCTCTAAACGTGCAAACATGCCGCATAAAAACAACCCCAGAAAGTTTCTTCCACTGTCAGTGCTACCAACCTCTTGTCTCTCCAGCAGCTCACGGACTTTTTTTGCTTTCTCGGGACGCGTGATCACAGCATGGGTAGGAACCTTGGCCAGGTGGCAGTCCCTGTAAGCCATGATGTTTGCCCGTTGCCCATCAGTGCACAGCAACTCGAACTGGTCCATTTTCAGATTTTTGGCCCAGTCTTCTTTATTTTTGCCTTTAAAGAGAATCGGTTTGGAGATTGAGAGATCTCGTGTAGCAGAAGAACGTCAGCCTCACAACACCTACGCCAGGCACGTGTTGCTGCCTTCATGTGCACTGGCACTTGGCATGTATAAAGGAGGCTGTAAGTAAAATTCAGGAAAAGTCAATGGGATGAGTCAGACCCTTGGAGCAGGCTGGGAGATGTAGTTACATCTCCTTCCTTGCATTTTTTCCCAAATGCTTGGAAAACTTTGGCCGCTGCTTTCAGAAAGCGGGAACCGAACTTTTAATTTTCAGGCAAGCCGGGAGCTAGAGCGCTGCGCAAAGGTGTCGAGGCTGTGGTTAAGGCACCGCCTGAGTAATTCTGCAGCTGAAATTCAATGATAGTTAGCGGGGAAGCGTCTCTGCAGAAATGCCTGGGCAGAGCCACCAGCATGTGCCGACGCTGGAATTCCGCTCCTCCTGCGGGAGGGGAGAGATTGGCAGGACGAGCAGGTAAAGCTTGCTCTTCCCTTCTGCACCGGGAACAAAAATAACGCGGGTATGGGGCAGGCAGCCCTGCCGAGACCCGTGCGACAGAATAACCACATACCGTCAGTGTTTTCCTCGACGATGGAATGCTTAATAAAGGCCACGTCCCCCTCCTCGACCAGGCACCTGGAAAGTACAAAGGCAGGCGAGTGATGCGGGTGCTCGATCCTGGCCCCTTCCCACATACTTGATTCTGACCTATGTCTTATTTTGTAAAATTAATCTCCGAGGACAGCCGGGTGTAAGAGCCCGGCCATGAATACTTTAAGGATATCTGAAACAGAGCCTTTTAACGCATTCTGGAAAAAGGCATGCATCCCTCTCACGTGATAAGTAGCCGATCTATTTTATTGTCAGAGAGAAGCAGTTTGGCTAGGTTCAGAATTCGCTTTCCTTTCTGCAACGCCTGCCCGTGCGTGTTAATAGCTCTGTGAAGAGGCTAGCTTACACCAAAGGGACCGCAAACCCTGAAGCAGGGTCTCTTTGCTCTTAGATGTAAATGAAACCAGATCCATCCTCTTCCTAAATTCATGCCCAATATGAATTACTTAGACTTGAGCTGATGCCGAGCGGGTACGGAGGAGATGGCACTGGGGCTGACCGCTGGCCTCTGCACTTTGTAGAGTCATTTGGACTAAGGCGAGCAGCGTTTTCAGCGGGGAGTGTCTATGGCAGCGTTGTTTGCGGGTCCCCATCTTTTAACACTCCTTATTCGTGTGGAAAGCGTAGGGCTTGCTGCCATTGCAGGAGGTCTGGCCAAAACCCTTGTGTCTCTCCAGGTTTGCCTGGAGGCACCGGGACGTTAGTTTTACAGAACGGGAAGATTTTACATCATTTTGCAGGAAGCTGCATGAAGAAAAAAACGTGTAGCGTGTGTATAATATTACAGACATATATACCTTCAGCAGTGTGATGGAGAAAAAAAGAAGGTCAGCAAATTAGCATCAGTGTGAGGCTGTACTCCATATGTGATCTACCCAAAACCTCTGTGATGAGCCCCAGGGTGTTTTGGGGGGTGTTTCCAAGGACCTGAGTGTTTCCACCACCTACCGGAAAGCTCCAGTATATCCATAGTATTTCTCGTGGCTATTGGCGACGCACTTCTCCGGCGGGACCCCCCCTGAGCCCTTGCAGAGCTTGCAGAGGCGGGAGTTAGAAGGAGACCCCGGAGCACAGCCCTCGCTGAAGTATTCATCTGAAGGCAGGAATAGGAGAAATTCACTTTTCCTGCACTGAAAAGTTAGGTTTTCTTTCAGTAATACGTTCTCATGATGAATTCGTATTAGCGGTCACCAGGAGCTGGAAGCAGGCTGTGGGAAGGAGCGCCTGGACAGCAAATAGCATGCATCCAGTTTTCACCACGGAACTTGTTATTGTTGATACTGCGGCTCAATAGTCCCCAAGAGATAGCACTAAGCACTGTCTTGGCATAAAAAGAAGAACGTTTTTGCTGCAAACCGTTCCCCGCTCACGCAGAGGCAGCCCAAGACCCCTCAGCCTTTCCAGGTCGGCAGAGTTGCGTTTGGCAGCAGTGCCAGAGCCCTGGGGGAAGAGGGGACAGTGGGAAGGGCGGGCAGGAGGGTGGAGAGGCTGACCTAAACCTGACTAGGACTAGTATCTTCTTGCGGTTAGCGATTTCCTTTTAATATTTATTTTAAAGGAATCTTTAATAATCCTTTAGATGCTTAATTTGCCTTGGTCCATAATATTTCCAGATTATTTTTGTTGGACCGTAATTCTCAGCGGTTGAAAGGCGGATGTGGAAGTTGATCTTCTGAGATGCCTAAACCCACCCTTTACCCCGGCTCTGCACCCTCCACAAGCACCAGGCGCCCTGAACCTGGGGCAGCCTGCATTCCCTTTTCGGGAACACCTCTTGGGCTGCTGCAGAGGGAAGGGGAGAGATGTGAAAAGAAAGCAAAGCCCCCCGAAACAGCTGACGTGCCGTATCTCACTCTGAAGCAGTCACCAACAACCTAAAGCTTTGCTCAGCGAAACCTTAAGTAACGGAGTCTTCTCCATTTCCCGCCTCCCACCTCTTGTGAGGCACAAGAAACTTTGAAGACCAGATGAAGGATGGGAAAACATTTTTGCAAGCAGATTCCCAGCTCGAAGAAATGGATGCGACTCACCGAAATTGCAGTTCCCCGTCTTGTTGTGAATCAAGCCCATGGGGATGTTCCAGCCAGCAGTCCTCCCGACAGCGGTGTGGCACGACTTCTTGCCCTGCAGATTGTTCCACTGGATATTGCTGTCAGATTTCTTCACGACAGCCACGGCAAAGTAGGATGCTTTCAGGAGATAAAATAAGAGGAGAATTAAAGACTGGCCCGAGGATCCCACCGTGCTCCCTTAGGAGAGCGTTGGCTCCAGGTGGGAGAGGGCACCTATGGGCAGCGTAGCAGAAATGCTTTGCACTTCTAAATGATTTGCCACACAGCAACAACAGAAGGATTTGCGGATGTGATGCATCGACTCCCGCTATGCTCCTGGGAAATTCTTGTCCCTGACATTCCCCCCAAAACTCTGACACTTGGGTATGCGAGAAGGCTCTAGCAAGACGTACGTGATGATTTCTTACCCCCTCCTGATTTCTCACCCCTTCTTTAGCAAAGGACAAAAACCTTCCCTCCTCTCCCTCTTCCCAGTTTTATGAAGAACAATTCCCTCAGGCTACAACCCAGTCCCTC